GTTAGAGACACTTACCCATAAAGGTTAGGGTTAGAGACACTTACCCATAAAAGGTTAGAGACCCTTACCCATAAAGGGTTAGAGACACTTACCCATAAAGGTTAGGGTTAGAGACACTTACCCATAAAAGGTTAGAGACCCTTACCCATAAAGGGTTAGAGACACTTACCCATAAAGGTTAGGGTTAGAGATCCTTACCCATAAATGGTTAGGGACCCTTAACCATAAAGATTATGGTTAGAGACACTTACCCATAAAGGGTTATGGTTAGAGAACCTTACCCATAAAGGGTTAGAGACACTAACCCATAAAGGGTTAGAGACACTTGCCCATAAAGGTTATGGCTAGAGACCCTCACCCAAAAAGGGTTAGAGACCCTTACCCATAAAGGTTAGGGTTAGGCACACTTACCCATAAAGGTTAGGGTTAGAGAACCTTACCCATAAAGGGTTAGAGACACTAACCCATAAAAGGTTAGAGACACTTACCCATAAAGGGTTAGAGACACTTACCCATAAAGGTTATGGTTAGAGACCCTTACCCATAAAGGGTTAGAGACCCTTACCCATAAAGGTTTTGGTTAGAGACCCTTACCCATAAAGGTTATGGTTAGAGACCCTTACCCATAAAAGGTAAGAGACCCTTACCCATAAAGGTTATGGTTAGAGACCCTCACCCATAAAGGTTATGGTTAGAGACCCTCACCCATAAAGGTTATGGTTAGAGACCCTCACCCATAAAGGTTTAGGGACACTCACCCATAAAGGGTCCAGGCCACTGAGGCTGCAAAAGGCATCCATCCACTCTTGGGTGCCTTTGTCCACCAGGTCCTGGTGTTTTCTCTGTAATCCGCGCTCTTCAGGCAGCTCTGCAGGATAACGCCGTGTGTGTCCCTGCTCTCAGGGAGTTCTTGTGCCCGGTGGCCTTCCCACCTCGTGTGCACTGCCTCTCTGAGCCACACGCTGTCTCGCTGCCCGCTTTATGAATGCTGCCTGCCAGCTTGTCTCCCCTTTTTAGGTGGGTGGGAAGATCTCTATGCTCCCGCTCTCCCTCCCTTTCCCTGCTTTCTCCCACGTGTGCTAAATTTTTGTCAATGCACTGCTGTGACTCCCCTGAAGAAGATGACAACAACCCACCTAAAACGTCTACCCTCCCTCCCCTGAACCCCCCCCCCCCAGTATAGTCTGGCAATCTTTCTTCTGTGACCAGAAGGACTGTCTGTGTCGGAGCCAGAAAGTGTTTACACGATTTGAGTATGACACATCTGGCTCTGTGTAACATTCACTTTTACATATTTTTAATGTTGTAATAAATTCACATAAAAGTGCAGAATTTAACAAGTTGCAGTTAAATTGTGTGTAGACAGGATTTGTTTTTCTGCAACAAATGTTGACATATAAAATGTTAGTTGGTTGTTCAGAATATGGTTTATCCTGTGACTCTTTATGGATGTAAGATGCTGGACAGTGAAGAATCAGGACAGGGTGAGTATTGGCACCTTTGTGAGTGGAAGCTTACAAGAAGACTGTTAACCAGAAGGAAACATAATCGGACCTAAGCTGTTTGACGTGTTGAGAGAAGACCCAGTGTGTTGGAGAAGACCACAATGCTTGGAAAATGTAAAAGAGGAAGAGGATGATCCACAACAAGATGGATGAAATGAATCAGGGCCAGATTAAGAGATTCAAGTGCCGCTGGGCAACAGAATATATAACATCCCATCAGAATGAATCGGAGCTGATTGGTGGCTCATGGAATTCAGAAATGCATCTAACACAGGGAAATTGTTACATAGACTTTCCAATGAGTGCCATATTAAATATATATATATATATATATATATACACTCACCTAAAGGATTATTAGGAACACCATACTAATACGGTGTTTGACCCCCTTTCGCCTTCAGAACTGCCTTAATTCT